ACCACTGAGTCCCCTCAGGTAGCTGCGCCTGCGTCTACGTCAGGTCAGTTGTCGGCTCCCTTCTCCCACCCTGTCGCACCTTGTCGCACGGACGGTCCTTTGGCACCACCGCCTTGGTCACCCTTGATGCAGTGCCTTCGTAGCATGCACTCCCGTTACCTTGTCTCTGGTCTTCCCGGGGTACTCCCTCCCCTCCCACCCTTGCCTTCTCCTCCATGTCTTCCGTGTGTCGACGGGCGGCAGCGCACCGCTCCTCACACCTCCTTGTTCCCTCCCATAGAGGCTCCTCTACAGACTCTCCACCTGGACGTGTGGGGCCCAGCCCGCGTCCGTGGACAGGGCCACGAGCGGTACTTCCTGCTGGTCGTCGACGACTACACGCGTTATACCACGGTCTTCCCCTTGCAGCGCAAGGGGGAGGTCCCTGATGTTTCGATCCCCTGGATCCGCGCTGTTCGTCTCCAGCTCCGCAAGCATTTCCAGTCGGACTTTCCAGACCTGCGTCTGCACTCTGACAGAGGTGGTGAGTTCTCCTCAGCCCTCTTGGCAGCCTTTTGTGCGGAGCACGGCATCCGCGAGACGTTCACGCTTCCGGCCTCTCCGCAGTAGAATGGGGTTAGTGAGCGCCGCATAGGCTTAGTCATGGAGGTCGCTCGTACCTCCATGATCCATGCGGCTGCCCCCCATTTTCTGTGGCCGTTTGCGGTCCGGTACGCTGCGCATCAGCTCAACCTCTGGCCCCGTGTCTCCTTGCCGGAGACCTCGCCCACACTGCTGTGGACGGGGAAGGTTGGCGATGCGTCGCGTTTCCGGGTCTGGGGTGCTCGTGCCTTTGTCCGCGATACCACCACGGATAAGCTCTCCGCCCGCACTATTCCCTGTGTCTTCCTTGGCTTTGTCCCTAACGCGCCGGGTTGGCAGTTTTACCACCCCACCTCGCGCCGTGTCTTTCCCTCTCAGGACGTCACGTTCGACGAGTCGGTTCCCTTTTACCGTCTCTTCCCTTACCGCATTGCCCCTCTCCCCCCCCCCCCGTCGCTCTTCCTCGCTCCAGGTGCTCCCCAGGTAGACCCCCTCCCCGCTCCCGGTCCTGCTCCTTCAGGTGTGTCTCAGGTAGACCCACCTCCCTTGACTGCCCCGGTTGAGGTCACTGGTGACTCAGGTCCTGCTGAGAGTGGCCCTGCTCGGGGTGCTGCTTCAGGGGGTGCTGAGCCTAGGGGTGCGGAGCCTGGGGGTGCTGAGCCTGGGGGTGCGGAGCCTGGAGGAGCGGAGCCTAGGGGTGCGGAGACTGGAGGTGCTGAGCCTGGGCGTGAGGAGTCTGGGGGTGATGAGCCGGGGGTTACTGAGTCTGGGGGTGTTGCACCTGGGGGCGCTGAGGCGTCTGGTGAGCAGTCTCCCTGGAGCGGCCGTCTCCGTAGTCTCTCCGCTGGTACCTCGCCGCTGCACTCTCGTCGTCGACTCCCTCTCTTCCCACAGCAGCTGCGTGAGTGGTACGTTGGCCGTCAGGGTCACGCTGCTAGAGCTAGGGGCCCTGCTGCGGGAGGCGCTAGAGCTGGTGACTCTGCTACTGGAGGTGATTCTGCTGGAAGTTTTGGAGCTGCTGAGGGTGCTGGAGCTGGAGTTTCTGGAGCTGCTGGAGGTGCTGGCGCTGGTGGCGCTGGAGCTGGAAGTTGTGGAGCGGCTGAGGGTGCTGGCGCTGGAGGTTCTGGAGCTACTGCGGGTGCTGGCACTGAGGGTTCTGAGTCTGCTGTTGCGCGGTCTCCTTGGAGTAGCCGCCTTCGTCCGCGTGTGCCTCTCACCTCACACCAGCTGCACGACTGGTACGGTCGCCGTCAGGGTCGCGCTTCGGGAGCTCGGGGCTCTGCCGCTGGAGGTACTTCTGCTGACGTCACTGGAGCTGGGAGTGGTGCTGGTCCGGAGGTGCTCGTACTGGAGGTACTGGAGCTGCTGGGGCTGGAGGTGCTGAGCCTGAGGGTGCTACTGCTGGAGACATTGAGACTGGAGACCCTTGGACGGGAGGTGCCGGTTCTGGGGGTCCTGGTGCTGGTGGAGCTGGTCGTGGAGGAGCTGGAGCTGAGGGTTTCGGAGCTGCTGGAGCTGCTGGAGCTGCTGGGGGTACTGGAGTTGCTGGTGGTGGTAGCACTGCACAAACCGCGCCTGTTCTTTGCTCCACCGTCTCCGTCGTCTCAGCCACCGTCTTACTTTGTGCTTCGCTAGGTTCTTAGTCTCCCTTCATCTACTGGTCTTCCGTTGCAGCCTGGCTCACCGCTGCTTGCTCTTCCTTACCCTGAGCAGACAGGAGGTCTTACTGAGCGTCGTGAGCCTGCGTCGCGTCCTGTCTCGCTTGTCCGTTCTGGTCGTTCCGGTCGTCGTGTTCCTCGTTCGCGTCAGCCGGCAGTCTCCGGCACCCACCTCGTCGTCTGTCGTCCTTCCTCTCCTCCACAGCGTGTTCCCCTACCGTCCCCTCCTGTGTCTTCTCTGCCTGCCATTCCAGAGCCTGAGTCTGTCCGCACCGTGCTGCTCACCCTACTGTCACTCGCTCTCAGCTCCACCTTCGGACGAGTCCGTAGAGCCAAGTGGTCCTTACCCAGAGCTAGTGGGCTGCCTCATGTACCTGATTACCTGCACTCGTCCTGACCTTGCGTACCCTCTTGGCCTTCTTGCTCGCTACGTGGCTCCTGGTCTGCACCGAAAGGTGCACATAGATGCTGCTAAGAGGGTACTGTGCTACTTGTGCATTACATCGGGCATGGGGCTCGTGCTTGGAGGGCGGAGCTCAGTTGTCCTCACTAGACACTCAGACGCTTCTTGGGTTGACAACCAGGCTACACAGCGGTCGTCACAGGGTTACACCTTCAGCCTTGGCTCCGGTTCTGTTTCTTGGCGGTCTACACGCTCGTCTTCTGTTCTCAGCTCCAGTTGTGAGGCTGAGATCTATGCCACAGCCATGGCTGCACAGGAGTTACGCTGGCTCACCTACCTGCTAACCGACCTGGGAGAGCGGCCTCGTTCTCCTCCAGTTCTGTACGTAGACAACAAGGCCGCCATTGCCTGTGTCAGGAGCACAGACTGGTGCACAGAACAAAGCACATCTCTCTGCGTTACTTCCTGGCTCGAGAGTTGCAGCTGCGAGATCAGCTTCGCCTTGCTCACGTGGCCACTCCCGCCAACACTGCTGATATATTCACCAAGGCACTTTTGTCTGGTGACCATCAGCGCTTTTGTACTTTGTTGGGTCTTGTGCCTACGTTTCCACACTTGCTGTAGTCTCTGCTTGTACTGTGATCTTTATATATATATATATATATATATATGTATACCGGCATGCTTGCTCTTGCTAGATAAAGATCACTCTGCTGTTCTTGTTGCGTATATACCTCTGCATGTGGACTGGCCTTGTAGCCGTTTGCTTGTGCTTAGTGTGTATGGTGACGTTGTGATCCACCCTGAGCTGTGTTTTGTTTCTTCTCTTGACTGGTCTTGTGACCATTGCTTGCTCTGGCTATCCCCCATTTCGCGTATGGAGGTGTGTCAAAACATATGCATATTATTATCTGGGCTATATTGGGGCTAGCCTTAGGGAGTACAGAAACATTCTCGGCACTCTAGTTTTGTACCCAACCTTCACCTTATGAGACCATTCCATGCCTATATTCTAAGACCATGCTCCGTTCTGTCCTCATCCCATGCTCCCTTCTGTCCTCATCCCATGCTCCCTTCTGTCCTCATCCCATGCTCCCTTCTGTCCTCATCTTATGCTCCTTTCTGTCCTCATCCCATGCTCCTGTCAGAACATTATAGCTTATGCCTTTGTGTAGGCTGTAGTGGGGTAGCCCATATGGGGTACAACCCAATTAGGGTTAGTACTTGTACCCAACTGTTTCATAGTTCATTCATTCTCGTTCTCATTTTCTCATGGTATCGAGCAGGTTCCCCTGTGGGAACTGTGCCTAGGGCCCACCAAATTTCGAATTTTTTTTCCTGCCCGAAGCGCGCTCCGCCCGAGTCGCGCTCTCACCTCGTCGAGCCGCCCTAGCGGCCCCTATGCCCTAGCGGCCCTCCCTACCTTAGCGGCCCCGTCGCCCGTTCGTGCGGCCCCGCCACCTACTAGCGTGGCCACGCCACCCGCATTCGCGGCCCGCCGCCCTACGTCGCGACCCCGCCGCCCTAACTGCGGCCTCGCCGCCCTACTCCTGCGGCCCCGCCGCCCTACTTCGCGGCCCCGCCGCTCTACGTCGCGGCCCGCCGCCCTGTTCAGCGGCCCCGCCGCCCCACTTCGCAGCCCCGCAGCCCCACTTCGCGGCCCCGCCGCCCTGCTTCAGCGGCCCCGCAGCCCGTCTGCTGCGGCCCCGCCGCCCCACTTCGCGGCCCCGCCGCCCTTCTTCAGCGGCCCCGCCGCCCGTCTGCTGCGGCCCCGCCGCCCCACTTCGCGGCCCCGCCGCCCCACTTTGCGGCCCCGCCGCCCTTCTTCAACGGGCCCCGCCGCTCTACTTCAGCGGCCCCGCCGCCCTACGTCTGCGGCCCCGCCGCCCGTCTGCTGCGGCCCCGCCGCCCTACACCTGCGGCCCCGCCGCCCTACTTCAAGGGCCCCGCCGCCCTACTTCAAGGGCCCCGCCGCCCTACTTCACCGACCCCGCCGCCCTACGTCAACGGGTCCCGCCGCCCGTCTGCTGCGGCCCCGCCGCTCTCCCCTCCTGCAGCAACGCGCCCGAGCCGCCGACCGCCGCGCCGCCCTGTACCAGAGGAGCCGAGCCGCCCTGCCGCCGAGCCGCCCGGCCGCCCACCAGCCGAGCCGCCGTGCAGCCGAGCCGCCCAGCCGCCGAGCCGCCCAGCAGCCGAGCCGCCCCGCAGCCGAGCCGCTGAGCCGCCCAGCAGCCGAGCCGCCCAGCCGCCGAGCCGCCCTACAGTTGAGCCGCCCGAGCAGCCCTATCCGGTAAGCACAGCCTCTCTGTCACTGCGTGCCCTTCCCCTACTGCTTGCACTGCTAGTCTACCGTCGTCATGGCTACCCCTAGTGTCCTCGCTTTTGACGCTGAGGGTCGAGCCATTGACTTTGAGGTCTGGGTCGACGACCTGCAGCTGTTCTTACAGTGCGATAGGGCGGACGGTCTTTCTCTCTTTGACCTCACCTCTGGCGCCTCTCCTGCCCTTGCTGCTGATGCTGACCCCACTGTTCGCTCTCAGTGGGCCACCCGCGATGCTGCTGCACGTCTGCTGTGCATCGCCACCTGCCTACCACTGAGCGCGCGCACTTTAGTCAGTACAAGAGTGCTCAGACCTTGTACGACGCTGTAGTTGCGCGCTACTCTTCCCCTGCCACTGCTGCACTGAGGCGCCTCATGCTACCGTACTCTTTCCTGACCTTGCTGCATTTCCCACAGTTGCTGACCTCATTACGCACCTCCGCACTAGTGACACTCGCTACCGCGCCGCGCTGCCTGCTGAGTTCTGCGCCAAGAACCCCCCCCCCCCCATGTACATCACTCTCTATTACATAGTCACCCGCCTCCCTGACTCCCTTCGCGTAGTCAGGGACCACTTTCTCTCACTCTGTCCCACCACTCTCACTGTTGACCTCCTAGAGAAGGCCCTCCTAGCAGCGGAGAAGAGCATAGTCGCTGTAGGAGCCTCTCGTGGTGACCCTCGCACCCCCATCTTTGAGGGGTGTTCCCTTCCCCCCTGTTGCCCTCTGTCGCCTCTACTGCTGCGGCCGACCTACTTGGTCTTAAGTCGGTCGATGCGGCGTCTGCCCCTAGCGGGAGACGCCGCTCTGGCAAGGGCAAGGGGGGCAAGGGCGCGGGTGGAGCTAGCGGGGGTGGTGGAGGTGGCGGTGGAGGCGGCGGAGGGAGTGGGGGTGGCGGGGGAGTGGTGCCGGGGGTGGAGGTGGCGGTGGCAGCGGCGGAGGCGGAGGCGGCGGTGGCGGTAGCGGTGGGAGCGGAGGCGGCGGTGGCGGCGGAGGTGGAGGCGGCGCTGGTGGAGGAGGTGGAGCTGGTCGAGGTGGTACTTCTCAGCGGAGCGGCTCCGGCAGTGTGGTCAGCGCCAGCAGTAGCAGCAGAAGCAGCAGCAGCAGCGTTTCTCGGGACATCCCCCCTCCTCAGCCGCTCCGTGAGTGGTACACGCAGCGTCAGCGTGGTGGGGGTTTTGGCCCGTGCACCTACGTCCTCCGCTCCGGCGACCGCACGGGTGAGCAGTGTGGGGGTGCTCACCCCACCCAGCGCTGCTTGGCCGCCTGACGGACGCTTGGCGTGAGCAGTTCCCGGAGGCTAGTGAGATCCCCCGCTGGGGAGAGCTGTCTAGGGCAGGCGTAGCTATCTTTGATCTTGACTTTGATGCTATCCTTGCTGCCATGTATGCTGTGACTATTAGTGATGAGGGTGACTGTTACCGGTGTTTCCCGCCTGACCCGGGCATTGTACTGCTGCTCTAGGTACTGGTG